TAAATAATAAAAAATTTTGATAAACATACCATTAAAAAACTTTCTTAAATCCAATTATTAAAATTGACTATACATTGCAAATATCCTATTATCAGAACCCCGAAAAAGCGTATCATACCACTAGTTCAAAAACTCAGGAAGATAATCTTCCAAGGTTTATCATTGATCATTTGTTTTAAAGTAATCAACTGCTTTTGAACTCCACCAACCGATCTGATGAGCCGCGCATTTCATTGAAGAAAGTGGGATGTTCATCAGATCTGAATATCGAATTTTTAATTGTTAATAACTAATAAAACTAACATACTAACTATTGTCCTTGTCAAAAAAAAAAAAAAAAAAACTACTTTAATATAAATTCTATTATAACATTAATCAACAAAATAATTGATTTTATCTAGAAAAAAAATAGTTAATTATACAATCACTCATGTAATCTAATAATAAAACAATTTATCATTTTAGTTATTGGAAAAAATTTAAACCCTAATCTTTACGGAAAAATACAAAACAGGATTGCTCTTCATCTGAGCAATCGCGGAAATATAATTGACTATGATATTGAAAGTTGTATTATTAAAATAAAAAAATCCACAAATAATTACAATTTAAAACAACAAGTTCCTTAAAATAAAAATGATATATTTATAATATTATATGATATTATAAATTTTTAATATAATATATTATTTTATAATTAATTTTTATTTAAATATTTATTAATAAAAATATATATTTACTTATTTAATAATGTATTATACTTATTTAATTTTACATTTCAATTATAAATTTATAATTTTATAACAATTAACATTGATGACCTGAAAATAGCTTCCAAACAAAATTAGAAACCGGACTGGCCATTGAGTGGACAGATTCATGAATCAATTAAACTTTTATCTTTTGGACATCATCTGAATCAAAAACATCCAAAAATTTAAAGTTTGGTCTGGAAATTGACGAGATTGAGACCACTGAGAGCACTGCCTAAAAAACAAAAGAAGAGACCACAGGGGACATTTCATGTAACTAATGGATATCGAGAAAGACCCCTATTTTATACCAAAATAAGAATAATTAAAAATGGATAGTTATACTATCGAGGGGTTGGATTAAGTGGTAAGTGGTTTGTTCCAGCTTAAGTAAAATTTCGAGTTCGAGTCCTTGTGTATGCAGCAGTTTCCGCTGGGAGACTCATCCACCATTT